CTATTCCCTTTCCTACCTGTCGAGGGAGACGGTGGCCAGGGTGAAGCTGCTGGCGTACATGGTGAGGTAGATGAAGAAGTGAACGGCCTTGCACATGAAGGGTCCAAACACCCAGCCCTCCAGGGTGTAGATGGTGGCTTGGAAGGGGACGCAGAAGAAGATGAAGCAGAGGTCAGCCACCCCAAGGTTGAGGATGAAGAGGTTGGTGGTGTTCTTCACCTGCCCGTTGCGCAGCAGCACGGCCAGGACCAGGCAGTTGCCCACCGTGCCCAGGAGGAAGATGATGAGGTACACCAGCGGGATGATGACCGATTCGGGCTGCCAGCCTCCCTCAGAGCCCACCGCCGAGCCGTTCATGACCGGGTGTGCAGGAAGCGCACAGCGGGGATGGACGGGGGGAGCGTGCGTAGAGGATGCGCTGGGGAGGAACGGCGGGGGTGCACGGGAAAGGGGAGATCAGTGGGGAGCTTACCGGGGATGTTTGGGAAAGGGGGCGCACAGAGAGCGCAGCGAAGACCTCAGAGGGATGTACGGAGAAGGGAGTGCTGTGAAAGGTTATTGGGGTGCACGGAAAAAGGGATATAGGGAGAGCGTACAAGGGATGTGCGGGACGTGCAGGGGGTTCCACCGGAGAGCAAGAAGAGACGGCCGGGGTGCGGGGCGGGAGAGGTGCTCGGGGACCCCTGGGAGTGCGGGGGGGATGCACAGGAGCTCTTCGCCTTCTCCGAGTCGGCTGGGAGCCCGCGGCCGCTTGGCGGGGCTCGGCGCTCTCCTTGCCACCGGCGGAGCGGAGGGAGCGCGGGGGGGCTCCCGCCCGGCCCTGGAGAGAGAAGCCCGCCCCCCTGATAACACCACCTCCGACGGTGGCCGCAGAAACCCGTGTGCCCCCCCTCTACGGATAGAGGGCTTCAGGCTGGCGTCTGTTTACTTGGGGGGCTAAATTGATTGGGGCAAAATGTCATTAGGTGACAGCCTAGGAAGGGGCTGGGCTGAACACCCCCAAGGGAGCTGGACACCTAAAATGAGGTGTCTGGGTGGCTTTCCTTATGGCTCACCCCTTCAGCAGTCACTGGGAGAGGGCTCATCTGACCCCAGGGACTGTGGGGGTGGTTTTTTGGGAATGTGTTTTTTTAGGAATGTGGGGATCCTTTTGGGTGGCAAATATGTCTACGTTGTCCAGTACACAGCTAAATCCTTGCACCGAACACACTAGAGGATAGCTCAGGTTTTTGGGAGAATCTAATTATCCCCAGGGGTGGAGGATCAGAGTAATTCACTGCCGCAAGAACAAATCTTTCTTCTTTTCCTGCCTGTAAAATTGCCTATTTTGTTCCTTCAGAGCCTTCACAGATGGAAGTCTCAGGACTGGGCAATGCAATCAGCTCTCCAAGGATCCTTTATCTGCTGCCTTGCTTTATTCCTGCAGAGAGAGCGATATTTAATGCATCAATTTCTCCTACAACTAACCCACTCTACAGCTTCTTAGTTATTTGAATGGACACTCAGATCTCAGCCTGCGGGCAGTGCTGGGAGGTCAGAGGACAGTCACAGTCCTGTGACATTGCCACCACAGGACATGGAGTTTCTTTTTTTGGGGAGCCCATGAGCAGCCCCACCAAAACGGCTCCCATTCAGCAATGCAGATGAGGTACACAGGGAAGCGAGCGCACCACTTTGGTGTGAGGATGCCCAGTTTCTGACTTCATCTCACGGGGAAAAGCAGGTAATTAGAGACAGTGCAGGGGAAGGCTGGCCATCCTGCAGGGCACAAGAAGGTGCTGAGATGCAGCAGCACAGCTCTGCCTTCCTTTCTCAGTCCCAGACTGGCCACACGCCCTCAGGAAGTCACTCCTGCTCTCAGCTGGGGCTGTGCTGCATCCCCAGCCACGGCTGTGGAGGCTGCAAGGCTCATGGGGAAGCCCAGCCCCAGGGAGCTTTCATCCTTCGGGAGCTGCCCCAGCTCCCTGTGCCCTGCCCTCAGATGCCCACGGCAGGGCACTGGTGTTTGAGTTTATTGATACTGGTAGTGTCTTTGGTCTCCCTTGAGCTGTGGTAAGCTTACGGAGGCCAGGTCTACCTTCACGCTGCAGAGTGAGGCTTTTAAAAAAACTGAGTGAAAATACCCAGTTCCTTCCCAAATACCAGTGCACCTCCCAACTCACAGCCGTGTTCACAAAGATCGATAGCAGGATCCCCTATTCTGAAACCACAAAATAAATTCTCAGCCTGAGATGTGGATGGGTTGTTAGGACAGGAGTGCAGCAGGCTGGGGATCTGGCCTCTAAGGGTAACTGAAAGCAAAAGGAAAAGGTAATGTGTAAGGCTCCCAGCCCTCCCAGGCTGCAGGGGTGGTGGAACAGGGATGGTCTGCACATGAGTCCCTGGAGCTAGTAACCCTCAGTGGATTTATTCTCCACAGCTCTCCCTGTGACACTAAAGGCAGCTCAGATCCACTGCCTTGCTGCTAGGCTCTCAACCAAGGCTCTGCTCAATGCTGTGATGCAGGTTTGTGTTGTCCTCCTCTCTCTCTGCCCTGGAGGAAGAGCAGAGTCAGCTCTGCTGCAGGAATCCACACTCTAAGCCAGCAGTTGATAGTTTATCCTCCCGCTTACAGACTCCAGAGGAGCAGCAAGGCTTTGTGCCAGCACATAAGGAAGGCGGCATGGCAGAAACGTGCCTGTGCTAAACCCAACAGCCATTCTGGCATTGGAACGGGTCCTTTGGTGCGTGGCATGCACGTGTTTATGTTGGGGCACCTGAATGCAAGTGCTGCAGTGCCAACCTAATCCAAGTCTGTCTGAAGCACCACAGCCATGAGAGGAGCAGTTGCTGGTAAAACATACTTCAATTGACATTGATCAAGCTTTATCCTGAAACATAGTTTATTTTAGACTGAGAATGAATCCCTGGGAGGCACATTGGAAACCCAAAGCAGACAGAAATGGCTTAAAAGATTTGCACTGGAAAGCTGCAGCTTGAGGACTTGGGTTTTATTTTTCCCCTTTGAGCTTTCATCTCTGTAAGAGGGAAGGAAAGCTTTAAAATAAGAAATAAGAGGTCATAGCTGAGGTTTTGAAGGGGAGAGGAGGAAAACTTACTATTGCTGCTTTCTGTAGCATGGCAGCAGCAAACTGCAGCCAGCCTTGCTGACCCCAAAAGCAGGCAGAGACCTGGGCTGGCACAGACAGGTCTAGGGGGGGTGAGACCAAGGGGAATAGATATCGGAGCAGCTTGTAATGCTCAGTGTTGTAATGGCTATGATTGTACAAGTATTTAGGACAGTAGGCATCCAGAAAACAGTTTGTCCATATGGAAATATCTCTAAGCTTGGTTCAAATATCTAAACCCCTTGTGCAAGAAGATCTGGTATTAACTGCTTTCCTCAGGTTTACACCTTTAAATAGCTGCAAGGAAGTATTTCTGTGTTTGATTGTGGTTGGGGTTTTTAAATAACAACAGAGGGTCTCTTCTTTTACTAGGTATACAGTCAGATGGGGATAAAGGTGCTCCCTGTTGCCCTATACAAGCTGTGGCTGGAGGTAGGAGATTTTGGATAGTGCTTGGCCTGGGGGAGCTTAAACCCCCTTTCCTGAAGGACTGCCCAGACCAGCACACTGGATGGCATCCTGGGAAGGTGCTAAGGGAAGGAGAGGCCCTCCTGGGACTGCTGCAGGGAGAGCCCTGCACTGGCCAGGTACACCACCAGTGCCTGACAGGTCTCTGCTCCCAGAAACAGGCACCTGGGGGGGTGTGTGAGGACCATGGTGGGTGTGTGCACCTTTGCTCCTCAGCAGCCTGGCGTGAGCCATCTCAGCTCAGGCACTGTCTGGGGTTTGCTGGGGCTCCCAGGGCCATGGGTGCGTCCTCAGTCCGTTCTAGGATGCTCTGGCTAATAAAGGTGCCATGATTTGCTTGCGCCTTCTCTAGTTGGTTCAGTGAGCTTCATGGAGGTTAAAACCTCAGAGCTAGCTCTGCCGTGCAGCTTTTCACCCCAAAATCACTCTTATTTTACTAGGAAAGCCACAGTTTCACCGAGTTTCGTTTGCCTGGCTGGGGCCCAGTGGGGCAGAGCCAGCCCTTTAGCCAAGGGTTGTGCGGGGATAGGGGAAGATCTGGGGGGTGGGTCAGCCCTTGGTGGGTGAGGGGGACAGGACTGAGGGATTGCTTTGGGGGCCAGGGGCTCAGCCTTGGGACAGAGGAGGGGGATGAGGCTGGAGGTCCCAATCCTG